GTTAACACTGCAAGTTAAAATTAAAAATGTTCATGGCACAGGGCATAGCATTTAAAAAGTAATGAATCACCCAGCTGGTATGAGCCAGTGCTTGAGCTTCAACCCGTGACAAAGGGTCCTTGGTTAGATTCCCAGTCAGAGCACATGCCCGGATTGTAGGTTCCATCCCCAGTAGGGTATGGAGGAAGCAGTGACCAATGATTCCCTCTCATCTTTGATGTTTCTTTTCTTTTGTAAGATAATGGACTCAATTTTCTTTAATTTTTAGGGAAGGGGAAGAGTCAGACAGAAACATCAATGATTAAAGAGAATTAGTGATAAGCTGCCTCCTGCAAGTCCCACCTGGTGATCTAGCAGGGGCTCATGCATGTGCCCTGAGGGAAAATGGAACTGTGACCTCCTGGTTCATAGGTCGACCGAGCCCCCTTGCCTGGCTATCATTGTTTCTCTCTCTCTCTCCACCTCTTTTGGTCTATGTACAATGGCCGGCAAACTCATTATTCAACAGAGCCAAATAGCAACAGTACTTCCTCAAAATAGACTCGCCCAGGCCAAAAACCTACTTCTGTGCATGGACCAAGAAATCTCAATTGCACTGTACGTGCGAGGCCACATATGCTATATTGTGGAAGAGCCACACTCAAGGGGCCAAAGAGCCACATGTGGCTCGCAAGCCGCAGTTTGCCGACCACTGGTTTATGAAATCAATAAAACTATTTTAAAAATCAATTATATTTATCAATTTAGTAAAATAAATTAAACTATTTTAAAATATATTTTTATTGATTTCAGAGAGTAAGGGAGAGGTAGAGAGAGAGAAACATCAATGATGAGAGAATGATTGATTGGCTGCCTCCTGCAGTCCCCACACGGATTGAGCCTGCAACCTGGGCACCTGCACTTGACTAGAAGCTCACCCTGGACCTTTCAGTCTGAAGGCTTATGCTCGATTCACTGAGCCAAACCAGCTAGGGCAATTAAAATATCTTTTTTTTTTAATTATTAAAATATCATTTAAGGAAAAAATATTAAAACATATCATCCCAATCCAAAAAGTTTATTTTTTATAGTAAAAATGCACAAAATGAGTGAAATGCCAACATCCATCTTTGTTGTTCCACAATCCTATTGTTAAAGGAAATTGCCAAAACTCATAGCACATTAGGCAGAACATATGATAAGATGTTTTAACAAAGATACAGACTCAACAAGCACACTTCTGAGAAAAGGCTCACCATAAATTCCTAGAAAAAAATACAATCAAACAGTGAAGCAGCACAACAAATGTCTGGAGAAAAAAAGTTTAAATCAATTATGATCGACTGAACAAACTATTCTCTAGGATGTGAAACCCCAAGACACTGCTGAAAAATGTAAAAAACTGCAATCAGTTAAAGTTTATTTTCTATTTTTAAAGAATAGTTTATTAATTTTTAGAGAGCGAAGGGAGAGAAACATTGATGGAAGAGTGCCATATTGGCCAGTGACCTCCTGCACACCCACTTCTGTGGATCTAGCCCACAACTTGGCAAATATTCCTACCGGTAATCAAATCTACAACCCTGTACTGCACGAGATGATGGCCAAGCCCTGACCCACACCGGCCCCGGTGGTATATTCCATTTAGATAACAATTTGCTAATGTCGATAAATTTAAACATTCATCTACTCAAAAACCAAGACTATGCACTGAATTTTTGACAAAGGTAAATAACACTTATATACATAGGAGAAATTATACAGAAATATTAGCACCAGCCTTGTTAGAAATAACCAAATATTTATTAAAATGGACAAACTGGCCAAAACCGGTTTGGCTCAGTGGATGGAGCGTCGGCCTGCGGACTGAGGGGTCCCAGGTTCGATTCCGGTCAAGGGCATGTACCTGGGTTGCGGGCACATTCCCAGAGGGAGATGTGCAGGAGGCGGCTGATGGATGTTTCTCTCTCATTGATGTTTCTGACTCTCTATCTCTCTTCCTTCTTCTCTGTAAAAAATCAATAAAATAAAATAAAAAAAAATGGACAAACTGATGGTGATATATCAATGATAAGAATATCTATCAGAGCCCTAACTAGTTTCGCTCAGTGGATACAGTGCTGGCCTGTGGACCAAAGTGTCCCAGATTTGATTCTGGTCAAGAGCATGTACATCCGTTGCAGGCATATCCCCAGTAGGGGCAGTGCAGGAGGCAGCTGATGGCTTGAGTGATGTTGCTAACTCTCTACCCATTTCCCATCCTCTCTGTAAAATCAATAAAATATATGTAAATATTTTTTTCAGAGCTTTTATATTTGAGTATTGAGTTTATTCTTCATATAACTTTTAAAACACTACTATACTTGAATATTAAAACAAAAACAATAGCAAGTAGTGAGCATATTATCGTTACAGTCCATCACTCATTCACTACTGTATATAAAATGCCAGCAGTGAATGTTATTCACTGGCCCCATTGAGAGGTCTGATGGCTCTGCATAAAGAGAGGCTGCCCCGGCCAAACATGGCGAGTGTGCATGCCACAGTTCACTTTCAGGCCATAATCGTCTACATTGGGTGTTTAAGGATCCTAGAAGGGCTGCATAAAAAAAACAAGCAACAAATCTGCACCACCATGACCAGGCTGTGCTGTCCTACCGCTAGATGGTGCTAACAACACTTAAACAAAAGTTCCTGTTCAAGTGCGAGCAACTATGTGAAGGTGCCAAGTGAGCCCACAAGGAAATATAAAAAGTAATAAAGAAGGAATGCATACAAACAAATTATGCCTTCATCTCTAAAATATATTAAAGTAACCTGAGATGTATTCTTGGACTCAGTGACAATTCTTGAAATTTGTACCAAGAGAAAATATCAGATGGGGAGAACCAAGATGGCGGTGTAGGGTACGGACCTGTGCATGCTGCCTCCCACAACAGCATTGAAACTACCAACTATAAGACAAACAGCTGTCTTTCAGAACCATGGGAAAGCTGGCCCTGTGGAAGCTCTACGACTGGAAGGAAATAAAGAACAGCATTGAGACTGAGTAGGATACGCAGAGGCTCCAAGAACAGAGGTGCGGAGTCACGCGCCAGGCAGGCTGCAACTGGATGCACGGTTTTTTTCAATTGGAAGGGGTTACAGACTGTCAAATCCACTCAGTGGGACTCTGAGGTCCCAGACCCCTACTGGGAGTGGCGGGATGGCCTTGCAGCAGGTCAGAGAGTAAGGGATGCTTTTTCACAAAGCTGCTCGCCAGCACTCAGGGACGCTGAGATGCACAGGGAGTCACGGAGAGCCAAGGAGTCGTGGAGATGCCATTGCCCTTTGCTCTGCCCTGGTGTCTCCCGGAGACCCCACCCTACTCAATTTACATCCCCACCCAAGATGTGCCAGTGGCACAAAGAGAAACTCTTGTGCTTCTGCAGCCCAACCCAAAAAAAGGCAGACTTCAATTCCTCGCATACATAAGGGACACACTCAGGAAGCAGAATCAGAGAGCACTTCGTAAGCTTGAGAAATCTGTTTAAACTTCTCTCCCTTCATTTGGATTCTTATGAAGGTGGTACTTCAAGGCCAGCGTCCTATAAGCCTTTTTCAGTTCTTCTTGGGTGGCACTGGGTTTGACCCCCAAAACATCATAGTAAGTGGTTGCTTTCATCATATTTGACAGCCGGTGAGAAGGCCGAGGCAGGTGTGGAGGAGCTGGAAAGAGCGTGTTGCTGTGCGCAGCTAAGGCAGCAGCTGCTCCTCCACCTCACACCAAGCGTTCTGGAAACTTCCCTCAATAAAATATATTATTTTTAAAAAAGAATATCTATCAGAAAAAAAGTTTAGTTACTAATATAACTTGAATAAATCCACAAGTATATGAAAAATCAATTAAAGCAAAAAATACTTAAAAAAATAAAGTTCTCTATGAAAATGGAATGTAAATCCACGGAAACTAGGAAAGCTTTGAAGAAAAGGGACAGGTTAAAATAGGTCATGAAGCAATGACACAGTAAAACATATAGTCAGCATTATGACTATAATGATAGTTCCAGTTTAATGCACATGTCAAGATTTATGAAACACTATACTTAACACATGAAACTTACTCATTACAGCTGTTAAAAATGGTTCAAGATAAAACAAATGTACGTTCATCTACTTTAGAAGAAAAGGTTTCGCAACTCTATATTCATTCCACATTCATATGCCCTCTGGGTGAGGGTCTCATGTCAGTACAGAAAATATAACAAACAGTGAAGAACTTTCACCCAAACCCACAAAAGCCACATCCTTGCACTATAGACAGCCTTTGCTTCCACCTTTGTTTTACTGCCTGAGCACCAATGGCTCTCTGATGGGAACATCTGAGAAGCTATAAGAGCCACAAATCATCTCGATTATAATCAATGACAATGACTGCTCCACAAAAGATAAACATGCCTGGGGTCCCTCCGATCTGTGTACACACAGCTCTTGTAGTCTTTTCCCCAAAATAATTCCTGGATGCACAGTTAGGTGAGGACCATTCCAACTAATGGGCTGCAGTCTCATCCAACAATAATTAGGTCAGCGTTTCCGTAGTGAAAGGGTTTCCCCTGAATGCCATTGTCCTCAAACCAGTGACCATCACCTGTGAAACTGTAGGCATTAAGGCACATGGCCCTCTGCAAGACCTGGCCAAGACATACCCTTCACATGCATTGGAATCCCTTGCAAACAAGAAAAAAATTCATGCTCCCAGACATACTTGAGGTTGTCACAACTACCCCCTCTTTGGAGTGATCTCTGTGTCTCAACGCATCCAGACATCACATGAGGATTAGAGAGTCCAGAGTATTTCTTAGGAAAATATGGGCAGCAGTGTAAATTTACCAAAAACTGCTGAGCTAATTTCTGCACCATACTGTTGCCCCAAGGGCAAAAAGGTTTGAGACCCCATAAATGTTGTTCACTTCATCATGCTTGGAGAGCTCCGATCTCCTTAAAGCTAACCCACGCAGTAAATAAAACACCCAAGATTAAAGAAGTCTTAGGAAAAATCCTTCTTTATTGTACAAACCAAAAAGATATGAGACTGGCAGTTCTTCCACTGATGACTCAGGCACTCAATAAATTAATCAATGGCATGCAGGGAAAGCATTCCCTCTGCAACATTATGTTTACTGGGGCTAACAGTCATGAGTCCTATGTGGCAACGCATGACAGGGAAAAAAGAAAGAACTATGGGCTCAGGTATTCCTCATTTTCTTCAACAAAAAAGACAACAGACTTTGTTTCCCTGGGCACATGAGGATGGTGATTGACACCATCTGTAGGGACCTTATAGGTGGTTCACGTAAAATACCTTCAACAGAAATATGCAGTGACATAGATCTGGCAGGACATCTCTGTATGTTAGAAAGTGCAACATAATTACATAGTGTTCAAACATAAAAGCAAAGACAACAACAAAAACACTTATGGGAACTTTACATAATGTAGGTGATTAAATGTATCAGATACAATTCAGAAAAATGAGGACTCACAAATTTTCTTGTACTAATATTAAGTCCTAACTAAGAAACTACATTTCCTACACATCTAAGAAATTTCTCACATTTGGACTCCTATGTGAAGAGCGAATTTAGAAATTTGGCTGAGAGATACCTCATATTAATTGCACTCATGTTTTTCTCCAGTGTGAACTCTTCTGATGATATTGAAGACTGCTGCTCCTTGTAAAAGATTTTCCACATTCACTGCATTTATAAGGCTTTTCTCCTGTATGAAGTCTCTGATGATAATGAAGGGCAGTGCTCTGGGTAAAAGATTTCCCACATTCACTACATTGATAAGGCTTTTCACCAGTGTGAACACTCCGATGATATTGGAGACCATTGCAACTTGTAAAAGATTTTCCACATTCACTGCAATTATAAGGTTTTTCTCCCGTATGAACTCTCTGATGACGACGAAGGACGGTCTTAGTGGTAAAAGATTTTTGACATTCACTGCATTGATAAGGCTTTTCTCCACTGTGAACTCTCTGATGATATTGGAGACCTTTTCTACTTTGAAATGATTTTCCACATTCACTGCATTTATAAGGCTTTTCTCCAGTATGAACTCTCTGATGATGATGAAGGTCGGTCTTAGTAATAAAACATTTCCCACATTCACTGCATTTATAAGGCTTTTCTCCAGTGTGAACACTCTGATGATATTGGAGAGAACTGCTACGTGTAAAAGATTTTCCACATTCACTGCATTTATGAGGCTTTTCCCCTGTATGAAGTCTGTGATGATAATAAAGAGTGGAGCTATGGGTAAAAGATTTCCCACATTCTCTGCATTTATAAGGCTTTTCTCCTGTATGAAGTCTGTGATGATAACGAAGTTCAATGCTCTGGATAAAAGACTTCCCACATTCACTGCATTTATAAGGCTTTTCTCCCAAATGAATTCTCTGATGTTGACAAAGGATGGTCTTAGAGGTAAAAGATTTTCCACAGTCACTGCATTGATAAGGCTTTTCTCCAGTGTGTAATCTCTGATGATATTGGAGACCATTGCTTGTTTTAAAAGATTTCCCACATACAGTGCATTTATAAGGCGTTTCTCCTGTATGAACTCTCTGATGAAAACGAAAGTGAGTGCTCCGGGTAAAAGATTTCCCACATTCACTGCACTGAAAGGGCTTTTCTCCTGTATGAACTACCTGATGATAACGAAGGCCAGTGCTCCGCGTAAAAGTTTTTCCATATTCACTGCATTTATAAAGCTTTTCTCCCAAATGAAGTCTCAGATGTCGATGAAGGTGGGTCTTAGCGGTAAAAGCTTTCCCACATTCACTGCATTGATAGGTCTTTTCTCCAGTGTGAACTCTCTGATGATACTGGAGAGCATCGCAACTTGTAAAAGATTTCCCACATTCACTGCATTTGAAAGGATTTTCTCCCATATGAAATCTCTGATGACGACGAAGGTGTGTCTTCTGGGTAAAAGATTTTCCACATTCACTGCATTGAAAAGGCCTTTCTCCTGTATGAACTCTCAGATGACGATGAAATTTGGACTTATAGGTAAAAGATTTACCACATTCAGTGCATTGATAAGGCTTTTTTCCAGTGTGAACCCTCTGATGATAGTGAAGAACACTGCTCCTTGTAAAAGATTTTCCACATTCACTGCATTTATAAGACTTTTCTCCCTTATGAACTCTCTGATGTCGATGAAGGTGGGTATTAGCAGTAAAAGATTTTCCACATTCACTACATTGATAAGGCTTTTCTCCAGTGTGAACTCTCTGTAGAAAATGAAAACCAGAAAATTTGGTAAAATATTTACCACATTAACAGCACACACAACAACCACTTCCAAGATGGACACATTTTTCCTGAATAAATGTGTGGGAGGAACTAATGTCTTACTTGCATTCTTTTCTGCTGAAATAATTTTTTTCTCGTTTGAAACGCCAGCCCATGCATCAAAATAGCATTTGGACTGTCCCAGGGCAGAGTACCCTTTAGGTGGAGATTTCCTGACCCATTAAGGACAACCTGCCCAACATCCCTGCATGTGAAATGATTGTGGGACACATTGAACTTCCAGCTGTTTGCAAGTGACAGCCTTTCCACACCTCTAATGAAAGTCTTCTGTCTCACATGCTGCTGGTGAAATTTTGCACTCAAAGAAAATCTTTTTGCACACGCCCCACACCTCAACAGTATCTGTCTGTGTTGTGTTCCTTGCAGCTCCATCACGTGGAAAATGTTTCCCAGGACTAGCCCACAACTCTCACAGGGTGACTCTTCTGGGAAGACAAGGGTAAATTTGGATTCCTTGCCTGTGACAATCTTCCAGAAACCTTTTGTTCAGTCAGGACCTCCACATTCTCTTCTCCACAGCAGCAACCTGAAAACAAGGAAATGTAGGGGAAGTGCATGTTGACCTGATAAAAACAGAGTACTTCAACACAGATGTTTCTCTGTCGTGACTAGACATGATTCCCTACAATGATTTTCAAGACGAGTGAGTCAGACTCTCAGGAAATGGCTGTTATATATAACATGGCCCAAAAGGTCACTGGATGAGGAAAATATCACCAAGGGAGGACATAAGCATAGGCTGCCACAAAAAGAAGAGAGGCAGTGTCTGCTCGTTATTACTCCACAAATGGCTTCTTTTAGTACCTTTCATGCTGGCGATATGAGTCTGTGTAGAATAATTCCAATGTGTTCAAAACCATAAATGATCAATCAAATTAGAACATGTGATGTTCAACGCCAATATAATAATACATGTGCACTCTAAGGCCTGAAGGCATGGAACAGTATTGGAGTGCAACAATGATATATTTGTGAAAGAGGTAGAGGTGCAAAGTTTAGAGAGGTTAAGGTGATCCACGGGCTGGGAATCCGATTGGAATGATCAGTATTAAAACTGAAAAGTGTCAACATTAAGCAAGAAGAAGTAGAATTGGGTGAGGAGTGGGCAATGGTAAGAAAACATTGTTGAAAAAAATGGGTTCCTAGTTATGAATGTAACAAAGCCCAGGCGTGAAAACTACCCCCACAGTCCTTCACCAAGGCAAGACTGCCACAGGGTCTAGCCTGTCATTGATAAAGTCATGTTTCTCCTGTGATGCACAATGGATTCTGCCTCTTAAATCCCAGTTGAGCCACTGCGTGGAATAAATGATGCAAATCTTAAAAGAAAAACTAAAAAGAGTGATAGCACTGTGGTAGAACAACAAAGCACAAAGGAGATCACAGACAAAAGACCTATGAGAGTGACATCAGCAAGATGGCAGACTCAGACATATGAGAATCTTTCCCCATCCCAGAGTAAGTAGACAGCTATCCATGAGAAAAACATCTCACAGGAAATGAGAATAAGAGTAACATGAAGACAAAAAGGAATACAGAATACCAAATAAGGACAACTGCATAGAAAGGATGACAGGAAATTGGGTGAGGAAGCACATTTGAGAATACCTAAGGTCAAAAACAAGGGTTAATAATAACTAACTAACTAACTGACTAACTAAGAAAATAAATAAATACAGCAGGGGTCAGACCTAGCTCACTTACTCAGTGGATAGAGTGTTAGTATGGGGACCGAAAGGTACTAGGTTCAGTTCTAGTCAAGGTCACAGGCCGAGTTTATTGTGGGTTCAGTTCCAGTAAGGGGGCATGCAGGAGGCAGCTGACCAGTGATGCTCTCTCATCATTCATGTTTCTCTCTCTCTCTGTCTCTCTTTCTCTGTCTCCCTTCCTCTGAGAAATCAATAAAAATGTATTAAAACAAAAGGGTCAGCCCTAGCTGGTTTCGCTCAGTGGATAGAGCATCAGCTTTTAGACTGAAGGGTCCCAGGTTCCATTCTGGGAAAGGGCATATGACAAGGTTGGGTGCTCGGTCCCTGCTGGGGGGCGTGCAGGAGGCAGCCAATCAATGATTCTCTCTCATCATTGATGTTTCTATCTCTCGCTCCCTCTCTCTCCCTTCTGAAATCAATAAAAATATATTTCAATAAATAAATAAAAATAAAGGGTTAGCGTTACCACTATCAGCCACTGTGCTTCTATTCTCATTGATCCTAGTAGCCTGTTCTCTAAAAACCTGGACATTTAAAAAAACACACAAAAAAACCCACAGAATGCCCTGGCCAATGTGGCTCAGTTGGTTAGAGCATCCTCTAGTGTATCGAAGGCTGGAGGGTTCGATTCTCAGTTAGGGCACATTTCAGAATGAGGCTTTCATATCCGGTTTACATGTGTGCAGAAGGGAGCTGATTGATGTTTCTTCCCCGCCTCTCTCTCTCTCTCTCTCTTTCTCCATTTCTCTTCTCTCTATGTAAAAGGAATCTAATTATATAAACAGCTAGGGGTTCTGACGGCCTAAACGACCAAACTGACAACCGAACACTGGAAGTCAATCCTGACCCAGCACTGACTGCCAAATCTGGAGGTCCAGCAGCGCGAAGCGGGAGTCAGAGGTGGGAGTCAGTCCCGTGAAGGAGTCATTTCCAGGTCATGTAAGTGGAAACCGTAAGATATAGAAACAAGGAAGACCTATCCCTTCAACTGGGGAGATATTGGCAGAAGAATAATAGTAGGGAGCCAGAACTCCCACCAACTCAGAACAATAATGAATACCCATTTTCTCCCTGACTCCCCCACCCCTCCCCAACACACACACACACCTACAAACCTTGGGCCAAGTGGGCAACCTGGACTTGTACTCTCTTCTTGAAATAATGAGATGGCATCTCACCGTTCCCTTTACCAGAGCAGTAACAAAGCAACCCAGATAAAATGGCTTGAAAAGATCCAGAGTTTCATAATGCTCAAAATTTCTAGGCTTCAATGATCAAATTAGTCATACAAAGAAGCAGAAAGATCTAAAACTGAATAAAAAAGATAATAGAGACTAACACTATTAGTGATGATAGAGTTATTTGATAATAAGTTTAACGCAGCCATCAAAACAATCTTTACATGAGTGATTTTGAACATCCTTAAAGGGGGAAAAAAGAAAGTTACGGCAAGTAAATAGAAAGTCTCAACAAAGAAAATGAAGCTATAAAGAAAAACCAGATGAAAATTATAGTACAGAAGACTATAATAACTGAAATAAATAACTCAGTAAATAGGCTCAAAGCAGAAAGGATAAAACAGAGGAAACACTCAGGGAACTAGAAAAAATAACCATAAAAATATCCAATGAGAATAGAGAGAAAACGGGCTGGAAAACAGCAACAGAAAAAGATCGGAACCAAGGAACCAGTGGAATCATAACAACAACAAAAAACAGACCACAAAATAAAACTGTAACATTTGGAGTCCAGGAAGAAATGAAAGAAGATGAAGCTGAAAGAATACTTGAAGAAATAATGGCTGAAAACTCTTCCAATTGGTCAAAAGACAGAAATCCCCAATTTTAGAAGTTGAGCAAATACAAAATGAGATAAACCCAAAGATATCAACACCCACATCATTGTCAAATTTCTGAAAAATAAAAACAAAGAAAAGAATCTTGAAAGTTCTGAAAGATAAATAGCACCTCATCTATAAGGAAAAAGTAATTCTCATGACAATAGGTTTTCCATTAGAAACCATAAAGTCTAAAAATAAAAGAACTGTCAACAGAGTCCTATTTCCAGTGAAAATACCATTCAGCAATATGGGGAAAATCAAGGCTCCTCAGGAAAGAGAACACAAATGTAAAGAAAAATTGATAAAGGCTAATATCCAAATCTCAAAAAATATATGAAATATATTCAATATCATCTCTCCAGGTAAACTCAAATTTGTTCCTCCAGGACTTACTTACCAGGATAGCTAAAATTAAATAGGTTTATAATATTAATTATTGGCAAGTATCTGCAGGATCGGGAACTCTCAGTCACTGCTGGTGGTTGTATCACTTGTATAAAAGGATGTGCAAAACAGTACCTTCTGCCCTAACCAGTGTGGCTCAGTGGATGGAACATCAGCCTAGGGACTGGGGGGTCTCGGGTTCGATTCCAGTCAAGGGCATGTACCTTGGTTGCGGGCATTTCCCCAGTGGGGAAGTGTGGGAGGGGGCTGATCGATGTTTGTCTCTCATTGATGTTTCTATCTGTCTATCCCTTTCCCTTCCTCTCTGTGGAAAATCAATAAAATATATTTTTTTAAAAAAAGAAGATCCAATTCTACCACGCAGTAACGCTGAAAAAATGGAAGGATTTACCCTGATTAAGAACTCTGAAGAGGGGAAAAACCAAGATGGCGGCATAGGTAAACACTGGAGATTGCTGCCTCTCAAACACTTCAAAAATAAACTAAAAGACGGAAAGGACATCATCCAGAACCACAGGAAGGCTGGCTGAGTGGAAATTTTACAACTAAAAGGAAAGAGAAAAGCATACCAAGACTCAGAGGAGGTGTGGTGCGGAAGTAAAATACAGAGGTACAGAGGCACATGCGGAGAGGGTTGGCAGCTGAGGACACGGTTGTCTTTTTCAATCGGGAGGGAGTCTCAAGCTCTGAGCTCCAATTCCGGGCAAGTCTCTGGGGACCCAGACTCATATGGGAGAAACTGGGCTGTGTGGCATCAGTCGGAACTGGGGGGCAGCTTTCTCTCAGGGGTGCTTGCAGCAATGGCCGGGACACTGAGAAGCAGAGCCTCTGAGGGCAGGACTGAGAGCAGCCATAACTGCTCGCTCCATCCTGTTGATCCCCTGGGACCCCGCTCCGCCCAAGCCACTACGCTTTTGCATATGAAAGGCCTGGCCCTTTGCAATCTGATAATTACCTAACAAACCGCAGCTGGCCAAGGCCCCAGGGTAACTTGCATTGCTTCACAGCTGACTCCTCCTGGATAGACTCAGGCAGAGGCTAGATTAGCACCTCCTTAAAGATCCAGGAGCCAGTGTGCCCCATGGTCAGAGTGGTACTATCCAGATTGCAGCTCCTCGGATCCATAAAGGACACACTCAGGGGGCTGACTTAGTGAGCACCAAAACCCCACTGAAGCTAGGCTTGCCCTGGAGGGGTGTCTCCAGCACAGAAGTTCTCCCACTGTAGACACAGCTGATTTTCACAGCCAATTTGCCTTGAGGTCAATCCCTCCCATTGTTACCTACAACAATCAAGGCTTAACTACAACAAGATTGTGCACAAAGACCAGAAGGGGGTGCTCCAAGAGTGTCCACCTCAGGTAATTGGGGAGGCTGAGCCACTGGGTCCTAGAGGACACCTAGCACAGAAAGCCACTCTATCGACACAGCAAAGCATAAAAAATGGGGAGACAAAGACACAAGACACAAATGACAGAAATGGAGGAAAGCAAACTGCTGGATATAGAGTTCAAAACCACACTTTTAAGGGTTTTCAAGAATTTTTTAGAAACCGCAGATAAATTTAGTGAGACCCTTGAGGATATGAAAAACGACCAACTAGAAATTAAGCATACACTGACTGAAATAAAGAATAATATACAGAGATCCAACAGCAGACTAGAGGATCGCAAGAATCAAGTCAAAGATTTGAAATACAAAGACGCAAAAAACACCTCACCGGAAAAACAAAAAGAGAAAAGAATTAAAAACTATGAAGATAGTGTAAGGAGTCTCCGGGACAACTTCAAGTGTACCAATATCCGAATTATGGGGGTGCAAGAAGAGGAGAGAAAGCAAGATATTGAAAACCTCTTTGAGGAAATAATGACAGAAAACTTCCCCTACCTGGTGAAAGAAATAGAATTGCAAGTCCAGAAAGTGCAAAGAACCCCAAACAAAAGGAATCCAAAGCTCCCCCCCACCAAAAAAAAGGAATCCAAAGAGGACCACACCAAGACACATCATAATTAAAATGCCAAGAGCAAAAGACAAAGAGAGAATCTTAAGAGCAGCAAGAGAAAAACAGTTAGTTATCTACAAGGGAATACCCATACAATTGTCAGCTGATTTCTAAACAGAAACTATGCAGCAAGAAGGGAGTGTGGCAAGAAATATTCAAAATGATGAATAGCAAGAACACACCACCTAGATTATGTTACCCAGCAAAGCTCTCATTCAGAATTGAAGGTCAGATAATGAGCTTCACAGATAACAAAAAGCTAAAAGAGTTTATCACCACCAAACCAGTATTATATGAAATGCTGAAAGGAATTCTATAAGAAAAGGAAGAAGCCATAGCTGGTTGGGCTCAGTGGACAGAGCATTGGCCTGTGGACTCAAGGGTCCCAGGTTCGATTCTTATAAAGGACATATACCTTGGTTGCAGGCACATCCCCAGTGGGGAGTGTGCAGGAGGCAACTGATCGATGTTTCTCTCTCATGGATGTTTCTAACTCTCTATCCCTCTCCCTTCCTCTCTGTAAAAATTCAATAAAAATATATTTAAAAAAAAAGGAAGAGGAGGAAGAAGAAAAATGTAAAGATAAAAATTATGAACAACAAATACTTCGCTATCAACTAGTAAATCTAAAAATCAAGTGAATAAGAAACCTAATTGCCGAAACAGGTTTGGATCAGTGGATGGAGCGTCGAACTGCGGACTGACACTCCCAGGTTCGATTCCGGTCAAGTGCATGTACCTTGGTTTCAGACACATCCCCAGTGGGAGATGTGCAGGAGGCAGCTGATCGATGTTTCTCTCTCATCGATGTTTCTAATTATCTCTCTCCTTTCCTCTCTGTAAAAAAACAATAAAATATATATTTTTTAAAAATCTGATGAACAGAGTAAACTGGTGAATATAATAGAATCAGTGGCATAGAAAGGGAGTGGACTCACAATTCTCAGGGGAAAAGGGGTGTGGGGGGGGTGGGAAGGACTGGACAAAAATCATACACCCATGGGGGAGGATAGTGGGGGGCGGGGGGTAAGGGCAAACGATGGGGTGGGAACCAGGTGGAGGGGAGCTATGTGGGTAAAAAAGAGGAACAACAGTAATAAGCTGAACAATAAAGATTTATTTTTTTAAAAATCAATGAAATATATTTTTAAAAAGCAACACATGAAAGATAAGACAGCCCTGACTGGTTTGGCTCAGTGGATAGAGTGTCAGCCTGCGGACTCAAGGGTCCCGCGTTCGATTCCAATCCAGGGCATGTATCTTGGTTGCAGGCACATCCCCAGTGGGGGGGTATGCAGGAGGCAGCTAATCGATGTTTATCTCTCATCGATGTTTCTAACTCTCTATCCCTCTCCCTTCCTCTCTGTAAAAAATCAATAAAATATATTTTAAAAAAAAAAGAAAGAAAGATAAGACATTATGCCTATCACGATGAACACAATGCATCATAAGAGATGTTGATGTGCCCTAACCGGTTTGGCTCAGTGGACAGAGCATCATCCTACGGACTCAAGGGTCCAGGGATCCATTCCAGTCAAGAGCATGTATCTTGGTTGCGGGCACATCCCCAGTAGGGAGCGTGCAGGAGGCAGCTATTCGATGTTTCTCTCTCATCGATGTTTCTAACTCCCTATCCCTCTCCCTTCCTCTCTGTAAAAAATCAATAAAATATATTTTTAAAAATACATACATCAACAGAACAGAACAAAAAACACAAAAATATGCCCAGGCACAGACTTTCAAATATCTTTGACAAAGCAGCGGCCACAGAAGGAAGGAAAGATAGTTTCTTCAACGAATGGGGCTGGTAATAATCAACATTCCCATGTAAAACAACAAAACTGGACACTGCTGATAAAATTTAACTCAACCTGCAGGACAGAATCAAATGTCAGTGCTAAAACTTAACACTCCTCAGGACAACCTGGAGAAAAGTTCTGCAGGTTTGTTTTGGACAGAATTTTCTGAATGTGACACCAACCACCACACAAAATAGAAAAAATAAACAGTCCACACTGCAACAAATAAAGAAAAATAGCGTCTTCAATGTACAACAGCAATAAACAAAATGCAATGAAAGGCAATCAAGAGGACGGGAGAAAATACTCGCAAATCATATGAAGGAATCTGTTGGAGATATTGTGGATTCACCTGTGATTAGCACAATAAAGCTAATATTGCGATATAGACACACATTCACACAAGTAGTTGGAGTTCCCTGGGAATAATGAAGGTATGTTAATACTATACTGCAGGCTAAGAACAATGCAGTGACTCTGCCTCAAAAGCAAAGTCTATATAACTTCATTAACAATATTTAATTGCTAAGCACTAGTAACAAGCACCTGAGCTTCCTAGAAACATGGTGGCACTAGACCTGCTGAATGCAGGGTTGCCAAAAACATGGACTTTGTAGAAATGCGGGTGTGGGGGAGCAATATCTGCAAAGCACAATTAAACACATGGAAAATTATGTGTTCCTGTATCAAATAAGGAATTAATATATAAAATATACATGGTATTCCAAAGATTCTTTAACAAAAAAAAATTAGTTAATACACTGGAAAAGGATGTAGAGACAATTTTTCAAATAATATTTACGCATGATAAATAGGAATACAGAAAATGCTTTCTTTTTTTTTCCTTCTTCTTCAGAAAATGCTTTCTTCACTACTTAAGGTGGAATCCCTTAGATGTCTACAACACGACCAACCACAAGCCCTTCCCTAGGAATTTAGTGCATCGGGGAGTATTGGGACTTCAGGAATAGAAGAGAGCAGTGGAAACAGACCAACCCTCCCAGGACAGCAACTACCCTGGAAACTGGAAAATCAATCAGCACCACAGTCTACAGGGGAGGACAGAGCACATCCTGGGGGATGGGACCTGGGAAACCTCAAAGCCAAGTCCAGGTCACTGGTGAGAGTGAGGGTCTTACCCAGGGAGGATAGAAGTTCAAAGTTCTCCCGCATCACATTCAGGTATAGCTGTCTCTGACTCTCATCAAGGAGGCTCCATTCCTCCCTGGAGAAGTACAGGGCAATGTCCTCAAAGGTCACACCAACCTGTCAAAATCGAGACAATTGTAACTGAAGGGACAGAACGGATCTGATAGCTGTGTCCCTAACTCCTCCTGCCCGAAAAGCCACAGAATGTATCAGTTACTCAGCCTGCCCTTACCTCAGCCAATAGGAAAGCAAGGGAAACTAGCCCCCCCCCCCCCCCTCACTCAACCAACCGGAATCAACCAAGTGCCTCCACCCCTCTCCCCAAGCCCTATAAATTCTTTGTTCTCTTGGGACTCGGGGCTCTCTCTTGCATCCAGTCATGGACGTGCAGGGGGACCAAGCCCGGGCTTGAATAAATGACTCTATGCTTTTGCATCGGACTCGGCTCCCTAGTGGTCTGTCTTGGGGGATCTTGAAATCTGGGCATAACAGTAACCAGACCCGCCTTTCTGAGAACCAGTAATTCTAATCCTTACACACCTTCCCACCCTCAACCTCCTCCAGGGCACATGGTTAGTGTGCATACCAGGCCCTAATGCCAGTGCAGGCTGCTCTCTCATCACAGTCCCATTACTCACTGTGATGGCCCTCAGCAGAGTACCTGGGTTGGTGGGAAGGATTGGGGGAGGGGAGGGTAGAGGGCAATGCCATTTAAGGTCTGGGCGATGCCTGCAGGGCCCCAGCCTTCCTGCCAAGCAACACCACTGCTGTCTCCTAGATCCTGCCTCCAAGACAAAGACAAGCGTCGGTTTATGCTTCGCCTTTAAGTCCCCACACCAGGTCCCGGGACCATCAGCTCACACTTCCTCCAGATGTGCACACCACTGGGTAATGTTTATCCCCTTCCCATGTTCAGACCCCAGGTTCACTCCCTCAGCTCTGCCCCCTTCCTGCTCCAATGCCACCGGATCTCGCTGGACTCACCCATGAACTTGGCATATGGCGTGTAGAGAGCTTGTAGTCCAGCCGGATCCACGACCACCCCAGGCCCCTGATGGACCCCACAGCCGGGAAAGCCCCGAATGAGGCTGTGCCGTCCTCCCTGCAGCCTCTGATCTTTCCGTCAATACTCACAGCCACATCCTCAGGGACCTTCAGATGCAAGTCACCCCCGTCCTCTCTGCCCTGCACTTGCTGTGTCCTCAGAAGCCACAACACTCCTCTCTCCCCTCCGCCTTCCGCACGGTCCTCCACGCGGGACTGAGCTGCAGGACGGGCCAGGCGCCCTCCCCAGGCTGTGGTGTGTGTGTGAGGAGGCGCTGAGGGCCTGGGGGACTCAACTCACCTCAGCCCGTCTCCTCAGCGGGGGCGCCGCCATTGCCCTCTGTGGGCGGAGCGGGGCGGGAGCAGAAGCCGCTGCAGGAACGTAGGTCCCTGTCCCGGCTCTGGGCCGGTCTGGTGGCGACTCCGAGCTTCAATCCCACGTGTGCGCTGTGAGCACCACTGGAGGCTCAAACCACGGGCTACGAGGCAGGGAGCACCACTTTCCAGCCTTCCCCACTGGACTCTGCGACCAGGTACCGCAGACCGCTAAAGACAAAATGGAGAAAAGACTACCGGTCCCGCACACCAGAACTTGAAAAACGGAAACGCCCTTTCTGAGCTCCCATTGGCTTAGCCTGGTGGCATTCCACGCGCGGCCTTCTGGGTAATGTAGTTCCCATGCTCCACGGCCAGGATCCTGTATTTCCTCAGCTGACTCAAGGAATGGTTTTGAGGGCAAATAGCCCAAGAAAACACCAAGTATACTCTGGACCCTCAGTGCCTTCAGGGGAGGTGATTTCAAGGGCAAGTTTGTTTCTGGGGCACCCGCGTGGCTTCCTTTAGCTGCTGGATTTGCATATCTTTCTTCAGAATCTGCTCTTTTCTGAATGGCAGGCATTGTGTCTTCTTTCAGGCCATTAGGCATCTGTCTCCTTCAGGCTAAATGTAGCTTGCAGAGGTTGCTCAAGTGTCTAACTCATCTAACCTGCCTCCATTGAACGAAGTTAATGTCTCAAAACAGACATCACTATTTAAGAGCATCTGCTTCTGGGGCCATTCAAAGTGTCAGCTCTGCCTGGGCTGCAGTGTGGAGAAGATGGCCAAGAGACATGTGAAAAAATGGTGAAAGACGCTGATCATCGAGATGCAAATTAAAGCAACAATTAGATACCACCTCACAACTGTCAGCATGGCTACAGGTAACAAAGGACAAGTGCTGGTGAAGATATGGAAAAAAGGGAACCCTAGTACACTGCTGGTAGGAATGCAGACTGGTGCAGACATTACGGAAAACATAGGGAGTTTTCTCAAAAAATTAAATATGGAACTGCCATTTGACCCTATTATCACACAAATAAGAATATATCCTAATAAACCTGAAACAATAATCTGAAAGAATGTATGCACCGAAATGTTTATAGCAGCACAATTTACAATAGTTAAGATTTAGCCGAAACCGGTTTGGCTCAGTGGATAGAGTGTCAGCCTGCGGACTGAGAGGTCCCGGGTTCGATTCCGGTCAAGGGCATGTACCTGGGTTGCGGGCATATCCCCAGTGGGAGATGTGCAGGAGGCAGCTGATCGATGATTCTCTCTCATCGATGTTTCTAACTCTCTATCTCTCTCCCTTCCTCTCTGTAAAAAATCAATAAAATATATTTAAAAAAAAAAAAAAAAAAAAAAAGATTTAAAAACAGCCCAAATGGCCATCAGTAGAAGAGTGGATAGGGAAGCTGTGGTACATTTATACCATGAAATGCTATGCAGCGGTAAAAAGGAAGTATCTCCTAGCCGTTCACACAGCTTGGAGGGACCTGGAGAGCATCATGCTAAGTGAAATGTCAGTCAGAGAAATAAAAGTATCTCTTGATCACACACATAGATGGAACCTAATTAACAAAATTAACTGAAGAATGGAGTGGATCCAGAGACATGGAAGCATGGGAGAGAGTGCAGAATCTCAGATGCAACTCGAGGGAGGGTAAAAAAAAAAAAGAGAGAGAGAATAAACACCCCTGGGTGAGATTAAAGAAACACACACACACTCACACATACATACCAAACAAAGCCACATGAGCCTTGAGCATTTTCTTCAGTTCTCTGGGAGCAACAAGAAACCTCTAGCTTGCTGTGTTCTTGGTTGGCTCTAAATTTGTGTTTGTAAATATGTCTTCAGTCAACTCTGTCCCTGGAAATGCTGACACCCCCCCACCCCACGCTCGCCCCATGGAACTTTCACCTGCTTCACATGAGTCAATTGCTTTTGGTGGTGTTGTAAGGAATGTCCAAACCTGTGGGGAATTTTTCTAAGTTTCTTTGACCCAAGTTGGCAATATTTGCCAGGAAGCAAAATAACAACAGATTGAGTAATGGTAAGAGGAACAGCAGTTTTGCACCTTTTTCATACATGAGACTCAAAGAAGACATATGGGGGTTACATGAAATTCACTGGTAAAAATTAGAGTGGGGAAGACTGAGGAGGGAAATTCCTGGGATTGAATAAAAAGTTAAAAAAAAAAGGCACCAATTTCTTTTTAAAATATTCTCCAAGCTGTAACCGGTTTGGCTCCGTGCATAGAGCATCGGCCTGCTGACTGAAAGTTCCCAGGTTCAATTCTGGTCAAAAGCATGGACCTTGGTTTCGGGCACATCCCCAGTAGGAGGTGTGCAGGAGACACCTGATCAATGATTCTAATTCTCTATCCCTCTCCCTTCCTCTATGTAAAAAAATCAATACAATGTACTTTTCTTTAAAAAAATATATATTTTATTGATATTTTACAGAGCGGAAGAGAGAGGGATAGAGAGTTAGAAACATCGATGAGAGAGAAACATCGATCAGCTGCCTCTTGCACATCCCCTAGTGGGGATGTACCCGAAACCAAGGTACATGCCCTTGACCAGAATCAAACCTGGGACCCTTGAGTCTGGAGGCTGACGCTCTATCCACTGAGTCAAACCGGTTAGGGCCAATATATTTTTCTTAAAAAAATGTTCTCCAATACTTAAGAGTTAATATTTAACACAACAACAATAATAATTCTAGCTCTGAGGTCTTCCGTGTGTGGAGATTGTGCCTTTAGGAGTCTGTAAAAAAGGAAATTTCCCTGAAAATCTAAAGGTATGTTATCCTAGATGCAAAAAGGCAATAGGCTTAATAAGGTAAAGATTGACCTTTGCAAAGAAACAAAACAAAAAAAGGAGGCTAGGACATAACTATCCCTGTGAGTTGCTTTTACTTAGAAAGTTTTAATTTCAAACCATCGTAGGAGGTTACTTTTGTCCTCGGAGTTTGTAGGATTCACCATGCCATGCCTGGCTACCTGAGCTCAGATCTTGCATTTCCTTATATTATTCCAATACAAAAGATGTTTATTTTTTTAAAGTAAAAATGCACAAAATGAGTGATATGCCAACATCCATCTTTGTTGTTCCACTGTCCTATTGTTAAAGAAAACTGCGAAAACTCACAGCACATTAGTCAGAACATATGGTAAGATGTTTTAACAAAAATACAGACTCATCAAATACACTTCTGAGAAAAGGCTCACCACAAATTCCTAGAAAAAATACAATCAAACAGTGAGGTAGCATGAGAAACTTACAAAATAAAATGTTTAAATAAATAATGATTGACCAAACAAAATATTCTCTAGGATGTGAAGAATGTGAATCCCTCACACACCACTGGAAAAATGCAAAAAAGTACAATCAGTTAAGGTTTATATTATTTATTTTTTAAAAAACAATCTTTATTACTTATTAGCATACCATAGAGCTCAGCTATTGGTTGAGTCACTCCATTCTTAGTGAGACATGCTCATAGACACTGATGGTTTTTGTTTTTAAACATATTTTCTGAGCACATAGCTCTCCTGTTGCCAGAGAGTGAGGACGTGTGTGCTCACATCTCTGTTCCCAGCATGAAAGGAGCCAGCAGCCAACGGCGCCCTATACCCCTGTGTGTGTGTCAGTGAGCATCTCAGGGTGGATCCTTCCTGGCGTCTGATACCCATCAGGAACTGGTAAATAAACCCCCTGTGTGCTTGCATCTAAAAAAACCAACAAACATATTTTCTTATTGATTTCGAAGAGGGAGAGGGAGAGAGAATCACTGATTGCACCTCCTGCACGCCCACTACTTGGGATTCAGCCACAAACCCAGACATGTGCCCTTGGCCAGAATCCAATCAGGGACCCATTAGTTCACAGACTGACGCTCAATCCCCTATTCCAAACAGGCTAGGGATAGGCTTATTTTTTTATTTTTAAAGAATAGTTTATGCCGAACCGGTTTGGCTCAGTGGATAGAGTGTCGGCCTGCGGACTCAGGGGTCCCGGGTTCGATTCCGGTCAGGGGCATGTATCCTGGTTGCGGGCACATCCCCAGTGGGGGGCGTGCAGGAGGCAGCTGAGCGATCTCTCTCATCGATGTTTCTAACTCTCTATCCCTCTCCCTTCTTCTCTGTAAAAAAATCAATAAAAATATATTTTTTTAAAAAAGAATAGTTTATTAATTTTTAGAGAGCGAAGGGAGAGAGAGAAACATTGATGGAAGAGTGCCATATTGGCCAGTGACCTCCTGCACGCCCACTTCTGCGGATCTAGCCCATAACTTGGCACATATCCCTACCGGTAATCAAATCTACAACTCTGTGCTGCACAACATGATGGACAAGTACTGACCCACACCGGCCTCGGTGGTATATTCCATTTAGATCACAATTTGCTAATGTCAGTAAATTTAAACATTCATCTACTCAAAAACCACAGACTATGCACTGAAATTTTGACAAAGGTAAATAACACTTATATACATACAAGGAATTATATAGAAATGTGTGTACCAGCTTTTTTAGAAATAACCAAATACTTACTAAATTGGACAAACTGATGGTGATATATCAGTGATAAGAATATCAGAAAAAAAGATGAGTTACTAGTGTAACTTTAAGAAATCTCCAAGTATTTATGAAACATAAACTAAAGCAGAAAAATACTTAGAAAAATAAAGTTCTCTATGAAAATGGAATGTAAATCCAGGGAAACTAGGAAAGCTGTGAAGAACAGGGACAAATTAAAAGAAGTCATGAAGCAATTACGCAGAGACAGATATGGTCAGTTTCAGTTTCAGTTTCATGCACATGTCAAGATTTATGAAACACTATACTTAACACATGTAATTTACTCATTATAGTGATGAAAAATGGTTCAATGGTATTCTGGAAGAACAGATTTGGCAACTCTATATTCAATACCCATACTTATGACCTCTGGGTGAGTCTCATCTCAGTGACAGAAAATGTAATAAACAATGAAGAACTTTCACCCAAACCCACAAAAGCCACATTACTGAACTAAAGACAGCCTTTGTCTCCATCTGTCTTTTTCTTTTTTTGTACTGTATTTTCGTTTAAATTTTTTTTCCAATCTGTAATTTCTCCATCCTTCTTTTGATGCCAGCGCACCAATGGATCTGATGGAAACTTCTGAGAAACTACAGGAGCCACAACCCATCTTGATTATAATCAATAACCATGACTGCTCCCCAGAAGATAAACATGCCTTGAGT